CTTCAGAGACCTTTCAAACCAATTAAGAGTCCCACTTGGGGTTTCCCTGATTCAATGCAATGGACGGAAATCCCAGCTTTACTTTGCCCAAATAAAATTCCAAATCTAAAGCACATCCCTGCTCAGAACAAAGGAATAAGTAATGTAATCTTCTGTTTATTTTGGGCCCCAAAGCATCCTCTCTCAATTCATAAGAACATTCTAGAAATTTGGTTCAAAAGCATTCATTTTTGGTGATAAATCCCATGTTTTGGATGATAAATTCCAAATTCCATACAGCAATAAGCTTTTAAAACAAGATTGACCAAATGTGGGTTTATACTGTTTATGTTAGACAGAGGCTGACATTCAAAAGGCACATAGTCACAATGTGCTAATAGGAATAAAAGGACATCTTAGTGAAGGACAGGCTCCTGTGCCTCATAATTTAGTTGCTTTGGCACCTAAAACATATATTCAAATATCCTTCATGAATGCCAAATGTCTTATCTTGAAACTATAAATATGGAACTGTAAGGATAGCAAGAACTCTGCCTTCTGCAATATGTAAGAATACTCCCTAAGTGAGTGTAAGAACATGCAGATACTTTACCATTTCTGGCCATTTTATTCAAAATATTTCTTCAAGGCATATTCACTTTGAAAAACCAAGAGTCAGTTATGACGCCAAAGCACATGTCACATCTATAAATACTCAACTATCCAACAAACAGCAACAGATCATGGACAGAGTTCCTACTCCAGTCCTCTGAAGATGCCGGCCACAGAGACTGGTGAAACGTCAGGAAGAACAACCTTCAGAACACGACCAAAGAGCCCAAAAAACCCACAACAACCAACATGTCACATCACTTGAATAAAGTTTATTTATTTATTTGATTATTCAATTAACTAACATCCGAACGAAACTAAATTTGACTGAAGGCTACTCTAGACTCGTCTTTAGCTTCACAGTGGAACGAGAAGCTGAAAAAGGGGTCTCCTCAGCATAAGCGCATGCCCCTACATAGGGTGCTTCCCACAGCCCATTGCCCTTAGAACTAATAGAAAGAGAAATGCATCAGCAGCCCTAGACATTGATCACCGCCTCCTCTAGAAATCTGAACGTTACCCTTTGGAAATTGTCCGCCTTAGCAGCTCTCAGTAGTGGATTTCAGTTCGTTCCAAGTTTGTGTTATGTGAAACCCTCCCTTTTCTCATTCTCAGTCTTCTTCTACTCGGTTTCAGGGGGGAAACCCAGGTTATCAGAGAGGAAGGAAGGTTTTTCCTCATCTACTTTCACCACATCATGCATTCTAAAAATAAATCTCTAGCATGCTGCTGGCCACAGTAATTGGCTTTCTTCCAAGCTAAACAGCATCAAATGTTGTAATATTTTTTTCATGGGCAAACTTATTTCAGGTTGCCTGTTTCAAGCTCGACAGCTGTGGGGAGGAGAGTGAGTGGGGGGACGGGAGGTCTGTCTCCGCAGCCTGGTCCGGCTCAGGCCATGGACCTGCACCAGATCACGGACCAGGGGTTGACGACTTTTGATTACAGAATACTGTACATCAATATTTAACAGACTATGATGAATGTGATGTAAGGATAAAGTGGACTTTAAACATATACGATGGGCCTGAAAATGTCCACAGTATTGTTGTGTTGATGTAATCACGACTACAGAGAACACAGCTGGATATGGATTTCCTAGCAATCAAGTGGTTTTATATGGGGAAAAATGAACTGATAGAAATTAAAAATAAAAAAACACTGCAAATATTTTCGTTTCAACATTTTATTTATTTATTTATTTAATTTATTGCATATATATGCCACCCATCTAGACATAGTCTACTCTGAGCGGCTCACAACAGACTCCATGGATGTTAAGTGAAAAATTGGAAAACATTATGATCCACCATGGTTAGGCAAACGGAAATTATCTGGGATAAAATCTTAATAAATTGTGTTATAAGAAAATCAGGCAAGGCCAAATTATAGACAATGACTTGAAACCAAGGTACAACTGCAATGAGTACATACTCCATTCTCCAAGTGAAAATTAATCCCCAGATTCTAGAGCTAGCACAAGGCTCTCGCAATTTTCCCTGCACAGCTGGTTGTGCTATTGTGAAGAAGACAGTGGCGCAGGTGCCCCTCTTGGTGGGCTGTCATGCTCCTGCCGAGCCCCAGTGCATCTGCCAAGCTACCAGTAGAATCCACCAAGGGATTGGGAGAGCTGGAGGGGAGGAAGGCGGACCCAGGAAGGGAAGAGAGGTCCCCTCCCAGGGTGGTGGGTTCCAAACGGAGGCTCTACCCATGGAGGTGGTGGCAAAGACCCCCAGGGGGAGAAGAAGGAGGTGACTTACCCGTCACCTGGTGATTATAAAAGTGGCCTTGCCATGGGTAGAGCAAGAACCATCAGTAAAGAAAACCAGGCAGGAGACTGGATGGCACACCAAGGAGGCAGGAGAAGTGGGTTCTGGATCTGTCACCAGAGAGGAAGAGGACCTTGAGGAAGGAGCCTGGGGAGACACTAAGGGGGAACTTTCAGAGACCTATGCGGCTGAGGACACCCCCCCCCAGAGGAAGAGCTGGAGCCCCCAGGGGAATGGGACTGCATCTTTAAGAAAGACCCTGGAGAACGGTCTTGGTGTAATTATTGTTCCCTAAAGGAGAAAGGGGAAAGCACTCAAACTCAACAGCCACCATACCAGCTGTCCTACTCAGGGAAGAGTATTCATAACATGGAGAGGTGATGGAGGACAGGGAAGAAACTTGGGGAGCCAATGGCCACCCAGATCCAATGTTGGCAGAGAAGATGCCAATGGGAAGGCCAGCACTGAACACGAGGGAAGATCTGCCACCCTATTTGCCCTCACTTGGGCAAACCGCCGCTCACTCCTAGGTAAAGCTCGGAGTATCGACAGAGTCCCTGGGCCAGACTGGCAACCAATCGGCTTTCTCAATGATGAAAACCAAAGTGACTGAGGAGCAGGTGGATCTTCCTTCTGAAGGGAACTGGAAGGCTAGAGACTCTAGAGCCCTGCACTAGGTCAGTGGACTTAACTAGGTCACAGGACTTGAAGTGTGTTATAGAACCATTGAATATTTCCCTTCTGCCAGTTCCAACAAACTCTTTTCCGATTGAACTTTCTTATCCGAAGTTTTAAATTTATTTATTACTTTAACACTCAGACAGGCTCAGAAAGGGAAACACGGTCTTTGAGACAGCTTGGACTCATGCCGTTTAATGCTTTATAGGTTAGAACTAACACTTCGAATTCTGCCTAGAATTCAGCAGCCAGTGGAGCTGCTGTTAAGCATGCAGGGAGCCTATCCTGCTGCAAGGAGACTGTCGCGATCCCCTCTGAAGTCCCTATTCCCCCACCCCCCAGGCCTTCACGAGGTTCTCGCTCTTCTTTCTTCTTCGCTGCCACCAGATATTAATGCTTTAATATCAACTGAGTATGGAGACAAGTGTGTTGGTAAAAACATAAGTCTTTTATTTCATCAGGGAAGTTAATAAACGATAAATATTCATGGGATAAATTACAGGCTGCCAATCACTTATATTTGAATCAGATCAGATGTAATTTCAAAACTCTTTTAACCCTCTGCTTCAATCTATGTTCTTACAGTTCTCTACCTCACTGTTCTTTCACTTTTTAAGCCACACACAGTCAGTCAGTCAGTCAGTCTCTCTCTCTCTCTCAAACTCCATCCACCAGTCTTTATATCCAGCTCCCTCCCCCCCTTGGCTCCGCCTTCCATTCACTCATTGGCTACTGCGTCAAGGTTCTGCGGTGACGGGCAGGTGAGGGCAGGGCTGTTCGCTACAGAGACATTTAACATTCCTCCCATCCACTCAACCAGTCCTTTTCTGGCAGCTTTTATAAGCCAGGAAGGGTTCAAAAGGTCTAAAAGATTTGTGGTAGTCATCTCCTCTCCAAGAGTCCTGTCCACATTATCAGGCTGCAAAAACCGAAACCTATCCATTAACACAGGACAAGCAGCTTATGGATCAGAGAATGGAGGAAGGACATCATGCTAAACAGGCCAGGACTCCCCTGCACACTCTGCTGTTTATATAGCCATAACATTTGGCACTGCATGCTGAATCTAGGCCACTGACTCCTTAGATTGAAGAGATAAAGTTACCCAACACTGGAGATAAAGGAATAATTAGGGTAATTACAGGGAAATAGAGAGGGGAAATCAGCATAAATTGACCTAAAATGTGATGAAAATCTAATTATGTTTCAAAACGAATACAGTGGTGCCTTGCTTAGCGATGTTAATTGGTTCCAAAAAAAATCGCTATGGGAAAACATCGCTAAGCGAAACACCATTTCCCGCAGGAATGCATTGAAAACTGGATAATCCGTTCCAATGGGGACGGATTACCGTCCTTAAGCGAAAATCGCCATAGGAAACATCGCTAAGCGAAATGCGGTTCCCCCATTGGAATGCATTGAATAGGTTTCACTGCATTTCAATGGTTTTGACAGGTCCGTTTTCGTTATTTTTAAAGTGTCTTAAACTGTTCAAAAATGTTCAGCTGTCCAACCTACAGTTCAATGCATTCCAATGGGGGGGGAAATTCATCAAAAATTAACGAAGACTCAGAACAAAGCCAAATTAAGTTTGCAAAGGTTTTACAAGGTGCACTAACGATTCCAAGCATTTTAAACAGTTTTGAACATTTTAAGACACACTTAAAATAGCGAAAACGGACATCGCTAAGCGAAACAGGGGGACCTAAACTGTCATCGCTAAGCGAAGCAAGGTCCCGAACATCGCTATGTGAAATTTCCCCATTGGAAGCATCGCTAAACAGAGCGCAAGATCGCTCCAAAAACCTCATCGCTAAACGAATACATCGTTAAACGAGGCAATCGCTAAGCGAGAGACCACTGTAAATGGCAGCAAGCACATTTTATTTTATTTTAGCCTTCCAGATATTGACTAGTGGGTTTTCCTTCTGTTAGCTCTGTAAATAAATTTTAAAAAAGCACTAAATGTAAAATGTTTTAAAGTATTACATATAAAAACAGGTGTTTGAGAAAATATCCACCTTTTCAGTGCAAAAATCCCCTTTTTCAGTTTTCAGTGCAAAACATGAGTGTCTTTTTTGAGGAGATAAGCATGAATACTGCTAGGCCACTCATAAGAAGATGATATGGTTCACCCATGGATGAGTCCCTCTGTAGGCCATTACTCCTGAAGCGCTGCACATGTGTGCCAAGAGCAGACGGCTGGAACGAAACAAGTGTGTTGCTTTGCAAAGTTCCTCAGTTCCAACCCTGGAATTCTCCTTTTTGTTCTCAACTTTCTGGTGGAGACGATTCTGAAATAATAGCACAGCAACACATTAGTATAAAAGCTGGTTAAGTTGTAATAGTGCTGAAGGCCATGCTGGACGTTACACAACAAATCAAGGAAATGCAGCCACAGGTGACTGCTAATTTGACTGGAGCATCCTTTTCCTCTGGAATTGTTTTCCACTTTAAATCTCTAGCCTTGCCCCTGCTGCTATATATTCTGCTGAAGATTAAAGTATTGGGAAAATGAGTGTTTTTGTTCACAGAAAGGAGCATAAGGAGAACAGTGCATGCAACATCAAGTCCGATCTAGTTTGGCGTTGAGATTTGTTTCAACTGGATTCCAAAAGACACCTGACATAGCTCCTATTTAGCCCAACTCCAGTTCATGCATAAACTCACAAAGAGAACTGTGAGTGGCTCACTGGCCAGGCACCTACTGATGCCTAAGAATGTGCTACAGCCAACAGCTGGAATTTGAGATTAGTATTAGATAAATTTTACAAAGGCAAAATTGCTCTATTTTTTTATGCTATTTCCTTTCACACTCTGTAATTCAGACCTTTGTTAGAGAAAGAATCCTTCTTACATCCTCTTAGGAATGTTAAATAAAAGACAAGGAACCAATGTGAAACAAACATATATTTTTCAAAGTGAAAAAAAAAACCTTAAGTGTAGAGTGGTCCTGAGTTGGCTAGATAGGTGATGGATGAGCTTCCTCCTGCCAACCACTGGTTCCATTGGTGTCCAAACTGGCCGTTTGTATACCAAATGGAGAGGGAGCACCTTTTAGGCCAGATGGGCGGGGTATAAATCAAATAAATCAAATAAATAAATAAATAAATAAATTTTTCTGTTTATCAGTTTCATGAAAACAAGTATATAAACCAGGAAAAGAAACAAAGGTACTAATTTTAGAAATTTTTAAATTCCTTAAAACAACCATGATCTACCTGTTCCAGATTCTGATTTCTAAAGAAGACCACCTAAGCAATATGCACTTGATGAAGCATTTCAATACATTTTGGGGGTGGTGTTTTAAAAGTGGGAAGAAGCAGAGGCTTTGCTCAGACACAGAAGAAGAGTAGAATGATAGTAAGGGGAGGAGAACATAAACCTCTTTCTGTCCTCCATCCTACTCCTCGCTGCTTTCTTACTCCCACAGCCTTTTGACAATAGCCTTTGTGAAACAGCATAAGGAAAGCAAAATAATAAACATTTATTAGGCAAATCCGATACTTTCAAAAATTTAGTGATATTATTAATTGGACCACCTGTGCAAAAACAAATGAACACCTAGAGTTGTACCATACACAAACATGCATGTGTTTTTATAGGGCATGCACGCTTACCCTCTCTGCTTCCTTCCAAGTTCTCAGCTGAGTCTAGGTTAACATCTGGCTGATTATCACTTATGTTTCCTCCTTCTGGAGATGGCATAGGATCATCTAAAAAATGGAAGCAAGAAAGATGTCAAAACTAACTTCTAAAACATATTTATCAATGGTAGAATTGCCAAACAGATAATAATAATAATTATGGTCCGTCAAGTGGATTCTGACTTAGCGTGATCCTTCCCTGCATATAAAGTACTCAGGACTGGTTTAACATTCCCTTCTTCTAGGGATACTCTGGGACTGTGAAGCTTACCCAAGACCATACAAGCTGGTTGTTTTCCTACAACGCAGAGTGGAGATTCAAACACCCAGCCCCTGGTTCCAGAGCAAGGTGCTCCAACTTTCTGAGCTTCCCCTGTTAATGAAAGCGAGCATAAGAGCTTTCTCTACTGTAGCTCATACACTGCGAAGCCCTTTCACTTATAAATTGGCAAGTATACTGAGTGGATCCTACAGGTGTGCATTTCAGGTTATCTGTTTTTAACAGGAATTAATGAATTTTAGTCAGTTTAAATCAATCTGGAGCCCGTAGTAACATGCCAGTTAGCAAATAACAGACCGATCTATTTAAACGTATCTGCAGCCTCTCCAGAACACTAATCCTTCTGCCCATCTTCCCAGCAGGTTTCCCTAATTACCCGACAGCTATTATCTCAGACAATAGTAAAGAAGGTATTCTAAAAGGAGTCAGCCTGCCAAGAAGGAAGCAGCAAAAACTGCAGTGACAACAACTGAGACCCCAGGGCACCAAGACAAGCAACCTAAAGGCTGCCTCTAGAGTGGCTGTCTTCCAGAAAGCCAAGCTGCAAGATCGGGAGGAAACAGAACAGGAATATAGGAACATATTCTAAGTTATAAAACAGAACAGGAATATATTCTAAGTTATAAAAGCTTAACTCTCAATTACAATCGTGCCCCGCTTAACGATTACCCCGCATTACAACAATCCACTTCACGACGATCTTTTTGCGATCGCAAAACGATGTTTTAAATGGGGTTTTTCCGCTTTGCGAAGATCGGTTCCCTGCTTCGGGAACTGATTCTTTGCATTACGACGATCAAAACAGCTGATCGTCGGGTTTTCAAAATAGCCGCCGGGTGCTCAAAATGGCTCCCCGCTGTGCTTAGGGACGGATTCCTCGCTATATAGGCACCGAAAATGGCCGCCGTATGGAGGATCTTCGCTGGATGGTGAGTTTTTAGTCCATTGGAACGCATTGACCGGGTTTTAATGCGTTTCAATGGGTTTTTTATTTTTGCTTTATGACGTTTTCGCTCTACAGCGATTTCGCTGGAACGAATTAACGTCGTTAAGCGAGGCACCACTGTAAATCAAATCTATGAAAAGTGAATACAATCAAAAGAAAATATTCTCTCTTACCTAACTAAACAATATTAAGAGAGAGAACAATAGAGACAAAACAAAACTGGCAACCCACAGCTGGCCCATCCTTAATAACTGGAATTAAATTACAGAACCTTAACAAATATATAATATACTTAAATAACAAATAACTACTAATAAAGTATCAACAAATCCAAACCGTAATTACAGGTCATAAAAAAATTAACACTACATATTGCCATCAGCCTCCCTAAATAATTTTGCCTTTAGCAGTCTTCTGAAAGACTATAGGGAGGGAGCCTGTTTCATCTCTACAAGAAGTTTGTTCCACAACGAGGGTGACACTGATGAAAACGCTTGAGTCCTCCCGATTGTTTTCTTTATTTCCCTTGGCGTGGGCAGCCTCAATAATGACCACACAGATATTTTTTGAGAGGCACTCCAACAAGCTCCTAAACCATTCAGGGCTTTATAAATCATAATTAATACCTTTATAAATCACAATTAATACCTTAAATCTGGAACAGAAGCTGACAATAAACCAGTGTAGGCAAGCCAGAATAGGGGAGATATGCTCAAACCTCCTCACCCTAAAAATTAACCTGGCTGCTGAATTCATGACCACTTGAAGCTGCTGTACCATCTTCAAGGGAAGTCTCACATAGAGACCATTACAGTTGTCAATTTTCAAGATTACCAAAGCATGGATTAATGTCTTCAGGGATCTCTCATCAAAGTATGGTGCAACTGGGCAATCTGCCTGAGATGAAAAAAGGCAGTCCTGGTCCTGATTGAAATTTGATGTTCCATATCGTGTTTCCCCGAAAATAAGACAGGGTAGTCCTGGTCCTGATTGAAATTTGATGTTACATGCCGTGTTTCCCCGAAAACAAGACAGGATCTTATATTAATTTTTGCTCCAAAAACACATTAGGACTTATTTTCAGGTTACTTCTTTCATGTACAACAATCTACGTTTATTCCAATAGAGTCATGTCATCTCCTGGTTGCTACACAATGGTGGAGGGTGGGGTTTCACTTAACTAGGACTTATTTTGTGGGTAGGGCTTATATTACAAGCATCCTGAAAAATCATACTAGGGCTTATTTTCGGGTTAGGTCTTATTTTTGGGGAAACAAGGTAGACAATGCCTGATCCAGTTGCAAACCTGGTCCTTTAGGGGGAGTGTGATTCCATCCAGACTAATAGGGCAGGAGACCCAACTATAACAACATAATCTCCATCTTGCCAGGATTCAATTTCAACCTGTTTGCCCTTTTCCAGTCCATTATCGAGGATAGGCAGGGCTCAAGGACCTGAATGGCATCCAGTGCAGAAGTAGTAAAATGAGAGGTAGAGCTGTGTGTCATCAGCATACTGATATTGCACCCCAAATCTCTGGATGACCTCTCCCATTGGCTTTACACTGATGTTAAAGAGAATAGGAGACATTATCAAGGCCTGAGGGGCCCCATAGCATAGTGTCCAAGGGATAGATACAGCCTCCCTCCAAATGAACCTTTTGGATATAACCATCAAGAACGGACCCAAACCAATGGTGAGCCAGGCCTCCAATCTCTAATCTTTAAAGCTGCTCTGGCAGGCTACCATGGTTGATGATACCAAAAGCAGCTGAGGCAGTTAGGGAGAACCAACAGGGCTACACTCCCTCTGTCAGACTCCTACAAAAGGTCATCTTGTAGAACAACCAATACTAATTCATTCCCATAGTGTAGCCTGAAACCCAGTTGAAATGGATGTAGACTACCCTCTCAATCAACCATAAAACAATGTTAGCAACAAGTCTAAAGTTGTTCATATCCTCCATTGCTAAGAAGGTTGTTTTCAGAATGGGACCAACAATGGTCTCCTTCAAACAGACATATGTTCTTCCCAGAGGACACATTAATTCTTTGAGTGGCCCATTCTATAGCTAAATCCCTGGCAGATTTAACATGCCATGATGGGCGGGAATCAACCAGAGAGGTGGTGATTTTGCAGCATGCAAGTGTCTTGTCAATGTCATCAGGCAAAACAGGTTGGAACTAATCCCAGAAAAATCTCACAAGACAATGCACCAGACATATCTTGACTTGAGCCATCGCATAAGAGGAGTCCAGGTCCTGCCACACAGCTTGGATCTTCAGTCTCAGATGAGGAGCTGTTAGCCTATTATATGTATCTGGATGGAGAACATTTGTCTGTTCAGGGTTGAAAAGGCTCTGAGACAGGCTCTGTTGATTAGTGGCTGATTCAATTACATTACTATAGAAAGCCTTCTTAGCTGCTTTGATAAAATTACAGTAAACTCCGTACAACTTTGCCATTCAAGGTAGCTTTCTTCCACTTGTTCTCCAGCCTTCTCCTCACTTGCTTCATCACTTTGAGTTCATCCATGAACCATGGAGAAGGGCAAGCTCTGCAATGGAGAGGGCATTCGGGTGTGATTGTGTCAACTGCTCGCAATGCCAGATTATAATCAACTGGCAAGCTGAACACTGACAGAAGCACCCACCAGGTCAGCAGGGGGGGAAAAAAACCCTACAGCCTCCTAGAAACCAACTGGATCCAGTAGCCTTTGGGGTCAAACCATCTTAGTTCATCGTATCTCCCCACAAAGGGAGGTTGCCATTCTAAGACTAAATTTCAAGAGATAATGGTCTCAGCACGACGTAAAGTCCCTCACCTTTAGATCAAAATTTCTCAGCCGAGAAACAAAACACCAGCTCAAGAGTGTGGCCTACCATGTGTATAGGAGCAGTTACAAGTCATGAAAGGTCTATGGATGTCATGGAATTCATGAACTCTGAGGCCGGACCAGCAGCCCTTACTTCAGCATGAATGTTGGAAGTCCCCCAGAAGCAGAAGTCTACTGAGACAAAGTCCATTAGCCTCAGCAGGGACAGTGCTGGAAGAGAGGTACACCTGCACTATCTGTATTGGATCACATTGGATCCACCACATTGGATCACACTGGGCACTCCAAACCTGCACTAGGAGGGGCAGAAATTCTATTGATTTCAACAGAGTCTTTCTGAACCACTGCACACACACTCCTCTCTGTACCTCTGATCTGCTCTGGTGTTGGACTCAGTAACCCTGAGGATGCAGATTTGAGAGAGGGCTACTCCTCCATGCGTTCCCACCCAGGTCTCAATAATATATGCCAGGTCAATTTTCTCATTCAGTTACTGTATAAACAATTGTTTCTCCAGGGCTTGGACATCTAAAAGCTTCGCAATCCAAGAATACTTTTCAATTGTATTATTGCTGCACTTTCTGTAATTCCAAGGGTTTTGTAACTTGAAATCTGGAACATTGTCACTATGCTGATTGTTATGACTACAGTTTTACAGAGCTGGCTGGAATAAAGGCCAAAAGCATAAAAGATACAGACTCCTCAAAAACCTGAAAAAAAACTATTATAATTTTAAAGAGTGCAAATTTTAAAACCTGCATCCTTCATTTATGTTTCACTATCATTTGCAAAACGTGTTCACCTGGCAGGATTATTCACTTACCAATGACCTTGCTTGACTGGACTTACCTAATTGGATCGAAATAGTTATAGTAAACTATTATTTCAGATCTTTATTTTGAAAGCACTTTTATTTCCATACCCCTTCCCTTTTAATCATGTTAACAGTCTATACATACACTTTGCATTTGGACAGATTCCTCCTTCATTCTGAGCAGTGGCTAAGAACAAAAAGACAAACAAAAATAGGGAACAATTTAAGAAAAACCAAAGTATATTTATCCAAAAGAGCCCAGATATCTGCATTCTCACTATAGGAAAGTCTGCATTCTCACAATACCTTTGTTGTGCTATTTTGCTCAAATGAACTAATGTCAACCTCCATGAAAAGTACTAGAACACTGAGGCAGAGGGAAAAGATAAATGTAATAATCTAGAAATTAACGTTTTCTATGTTTGATATGTAATATTTTGCTACTCCAGATTCTTGCAGAATTTGGTATGTTTTGCTACTCCAGATTCTTGCAGAACCAATGTCCTCTGTCCTCTGCTGCTTTCCCAGCCGAAGAAGATATGAGGCCTTGTACTGTAGTTTTTCCTCTTAAAAGAGATGTGGGATTTAGGGTTGCTAAACAGCAAGCATGGAAACAGTTAAGCACCAGTTGGCAATGGTATATCGGTACAGTCGTGCCTTGCTTTACGTTTGCCCCGGATTACTACAAAAGTGCATTACGATGACATTTTTGCAATTGCAAAACAATGGTCAGAATAGTGTTTTTCGCTTTGTGATCAGTTCCCTGCTTTGGGAACCGATTCTTTGCAAAACGAGGATTTTCCAACAGCTGATCAGTGGTTTCAAAATGGTCACTGGGTAAATAAAATGGCTCCCCACTGTTTTCTGGGACGGATTCCTCGCAAGACAGCCACCGAAAATGGCGACCCTGTGGAGAATCTTCGCTGGACGGTGAGTTTCCAGCCCACTGGAACCCATTGAAGGGGTTTCAATGGGCTTTTTATTTTCGCATTACGACATTTTCGTTCTACAGTGATTTCGCTGGAATGAATTAACGTCGTAATGCGAAGCACCACTGTACTTCTGAATTCAGCCTGCCAACCAGAAAGAGTCTCCTCCCATTCCTTTCTTAGACATATGTGTCTCAGCTAGAGCGGACTGTGCTGTTATGAATGGACAGCTGGAAAAAAGAACAGCCTGTGTAGAAATCCGCATATCAAACACTAACCAAAATTCATATCTATTATAGGAATAGGACAAATGCCATTCCTCCTGTAGCCAGGGCATGCCCTTGCTATAGAAACCTCCCACCACAGCTGATGGTATCACAGTAAATGCATACCTTGAGCCGGCCCCGTAAAACTATCTGACTGTGTTATCTGGAAGCTGAATCATGGCAAGTGGACTTCTTCCTTCTTATGCTAAAACGTGTTGCTACTCATCCAAGTAGCTTCTTCAGTCTATTCAGACCAGAGGGAAATGAAACCAAAGGGGAGGATATATCAAGGATCTCCTGCCAACTCCCCTCAGACTGAAGAAGCTACTTGGATGAGTAGCAAAACATTTAAACTTAAGAAAGAAGTCTAGTTGCCTTGACTCAACTTCCAGATAACCTCACTGGGATGACTGAGAATCTTCACAGCTATCTGACTATGTTGTATTATCCTCATTGAGTAATTCTGCAGTACTCTGAACCATCCCAACAATGAAAAGCACCCTAAGGAAATAATCCCTCAATTCACCTAATCTACAATGTTTGCAAAAAATAAATCATAGAATAATGAATTTGGAAGGGGCCTAGAAGGCCATCAAGTCCAACCCTCTGCTCAGTGCAGGAATACAAATGAGATATGCCAGGTGGTTGTCTAAATTTATCTTGAATGCCTGCAGTGTTAGAGCACTCACCATCTCTTGAGGTAATTGGTTCCATTGTCATACTGCTCTAATCTTTCTGAAAGTTGAAAGTGTTTTACCTTCCAATCCCCAATAGCTGGTGAAGATAGTTCCAGCTGCCTTAAAAAGAGAACCAGCTAATCTCTTATCAATTATGTCGAAAGCTGATGAGAGTCCAATATAGGCTGCGTGAAGATTTTGAGAAGATTCCAAACTTAATCTATGAAGGAATAACTGCTTGTAGAACTGGCTTGCCTAAATTTATCTTGACTGTCTCCAGTGTTAGAGCACTCACCACCTCTCGAGGTAATTGGTTCCATTGTCATACTGCTCTAATCTTTCTGAAAATTGAAAGTGTTTTACCTTCCAATCCCCAATAGCTGGTGAAGATAGTTCCAGCTACCTTAAAAAGAGAACCAGCTAATTTCTTATCAATTATGTCAAAAGCTGATGAGAGTCCAATATAGGCTGCATGAAGATTTTGAGAAGATTCCAAACTTAATGTGTGAAGGAATAACTGCTTGTAGAACTGGATTGCTCTTCTTTAATAACCTAACACAATGGACAAAGAATCTTATTTAGGACTTTACTGTAAATATTCCAGCTGGGACAGAATTAGAAGAGGGCATATCCTTCCTGGGCATATCCTTCCTTTCACCTGAAACACATGCCCTGTATCCTTTGAGAAGATTCCAAACTTAATGTGTGAAGGAATAACTGCTTGTAGAACTGGATTGCTCTTCTTTAATAACCTAACACAATGGACAAAGAATCTTATTTAGGACTTTACTGTAAATATTCCAGCTGGGACAGAATTAGAAGAGGGCATATCCTTCCTGGGCATATCCTTCCTTTCACCTGAAACACATGCCCTGTATCCTTTCACAGGGTGAAGAGGGCATATCTTCCCTGGGCCCTTACCTATTCCTAATCTTTTTAATTTGGGAAGACTGTACAGTACTGGTGAGCACTTGAGGATTTTCTTCATCCCTGAAAGGTGCAGTGGATAGTGCAATACTGTCAGATCTTCAAAATAACTCATTTTCCTCAAAAATCTTCACTTTTCCTAACATATATTAAAATGCGATTTTTGTTTTGTGTGGTTACTAAAATAAATGCTTTTCTTCTTTACTTGAACAATTCTTAAACCCTTGACTTTCACCTGAAACACATGCCCTGTATCCTTTCACAGGGAGATGCTCTCATTGTAAGAGAGCAAAACACAATAATGCCAGATCTTCCCTGCCTTACTCTATTAAAAATCAATACTAATCCTTTCCCAGAGAGAGTGCCTCTGGGCTGCCCTAAGTGGAGCAAATCCCCGTTTAATGCGTTCCTATGGGGGATAAACTCACCGCGAAGCGGGAATCCTCCATACGGCCGCCATTTTCGTCGCCTCGGTAAGTGAGGAATCGGCGCGAAAATGCTGCACTGAATGTTCTCTGAATGTCTCTTTCACAGAGAGATGCTCTCATTATAAGAGAGCAAAACACAATAATGCCAGATCTTCCCTGCCTTACTCTATTAAAAATCAATACTAATCCTTTCCCAGAGAGAGTGCCTCTGGGCTGCCCTAAGTGGAGCAAATCCCCGTTTAATGCGTTCCTATGGGGGATAAACTCACCGCGAAGCGGGAATCCTCCATACGGCCGCCATTTTCGTCGCCTCGGTAAGTGAGGAATCGGCGCGAAAATGCTGCAGGCGGCCATTTTGTTGATCCACCGGCCATTTTGGAACTGCCGATCAGCTGTTTAAAAACATTGCAATGCGAAGATCGGTAAGCG